ATTGTTGGTGGACGATGGTGTTGTTGCTGGTGTCCATGTATCTTAGGCTGAGGTGTCTGGCTGATGTTGTCGGTGAACTGACGAACTGTGTTCTGCATTGCTACATACTTCGCTAGCATCTCCCGTACTGTTTTGACCGTCCATGGCACAGTATGGTCGGATCTCTGCTCCTCCAGTTTGCTGATGAGCTGGAACGGGAACTTCGAGAAGAGTTGCTGAATGAGGACGCGCTGAGTATCCAGGTTCTCTCCCTGAGCTTCCAATTGACGAAGGAGTTTCTCCATTTGGTCAATGGTAGCCTTCACTTCAGTAAACCTGTTGTTACATTGTGGCAGCTGTGCCAGTTTACGATACAGTGTTGCCACTATCAGCTCAGGCTGTCCAAATTTGTCCTTCAGCATTGTAACTGCGATAGGATAGTTAGCTGCTGTTATTGGAATGCCTTCGATGGCTGCTGCGGCGACACCCGTCAGGACGCTTTTGAGGTACGTGAATTTTGATACATCCGGCAACGATTGACGAAGACCAACAGAGGACTCAAATGTCTGCCAGAATTCTGGCCAGTCCATGATGTCTCCATTGAACTGAGACAGTTTCAGCTGAGGAAGTTTCACCACTGGACTGGAGCGTGCAGCTTGCATGGCTGCTACTGCTGCCTGTGCCGCCACCTCAATGGTGGACAGCGTTGTTGGTGTACTGTGTATGCTGACACTTGACGATGCTCGTCGGATGCCATCTACATTGATCATAGCTGGAGACTCGTTCTGGTCTCTAGGATCTTCTTCCAGCTGCACTGCTGTTTGTTGATGCGCCTCCTCGTCAACTACTGGTATGTCCTCAGTGGCACTGGCACTATTGGTGGTGGCATCCACTGAAGTCACTGAGGCTTTCTGGTGCTGTTGCTGAGCAGCCAGAATGGCGGATTGGGACTGACGCTTCAATTTCTCCTCTTCAAATACGACTTGGTCGACAGCTATCTGGGCATCTTCAAAAATGCGTCAAGACACATTAAATTCACGCTCCCACTCCTCTTCTTCGTCGTGTACACTACATCTTTCTAAGTCGTCCAGAACATTGAAAATCTCATCCTGGGTGAGTAGTATTTCTCGTTTCAACTGTACAGCATCGTCAATCTGGGGCTGAAGCCTCTTTGGATCGATCCATACTTCCACATAGCTTTCTGTTGTTTTTTCCAAAATGTACGCAGTACATGCCCTGATGCGCTCGTATCTTCGCATGCACCGGCGTCGACGCTTCTGCGCGTCCTTGATGGCCTGCAGGCCTTTCTTCTGGGAGTCATCTTCCTGACATGTTGTGGCTGTAGCACAACCTTCAGTGGCTTCACTAGTACGATTAGAGTCTTCACTTGACATCATATCCTATCCTGGTCACAGCACCATGTCACGAACGGACATAAACGAGGGAAAATAAGGGGGTCTAAAATACTATTACTACTGCACTCCAGGGCAGTTCAACGGTGGCTGTGATCACAGTCCCTCGTCTCCGTCGTGAGAACATCAAAAACTCATCATATCAAGTGCTATTTATCGAAAACACTGTAACGAGAAGAAGGTCTAACCGGACACAACTTCCATACCAAAAAACCAGAAAACTAGACCAAGAAGAAAAACTGTTCTCCGCTCTAAAAACACGGTAAACGATTATGACGTAAGGCGTCCAAAAGGAGCGAGAGTTTGAACTCCCGTTTGAACTTACAACAGATATGGCTGTAACTAAGTGTAAGAGATAGTAGGGGTCAAAGCATGCATACGCGAAATGTGTACAATAATGCACGACGTGGGAAATAGTAAGTTCATGACTGCGCAGTCATGACACTCTCCCACATTTATCAACCCGACACTTCCATTACGCCACTCCACCTTCTACGCACACCAACACCTTCTACCAACCTACACTTCTACCCGAAGGGTGTACCCCTTCCCACCTGTATCGACCCGCACCTAACCTTCACCATTAACCCTTTGTGAGTCCACTGGTTTCGGAGAAAATGACCAAATTTTCCATTCCGACAATAATCCCCTGTAACTCCACAGTTTTTGAGAATATGTAATTAGAAGTTGTGTTTTTCTGAATGGAATCGTTCGGCTGAATCCAAAAAACTATGTTAGAATGTTGCCATGGTTACCAATGTTGCCATATTAGGCACATATTGTCATAATCAAGTGTATAGCCGCGTTATTTACAGAGCGCACCATAGGAAGGAAATGAAACCATACTTTTATGTACAAATATACAGTAGACAAGATAGAAACTCACAGCACTGAGATAAGATATCCTTCACAAGAAGTGGCGTGCATGGTAAGCGGCGTAGCAGTCGTGGTCGCTCGTGATGTGGAGGTGAACATCGCACGTAGTGCAGTAGGTTACACACTGGTGCTGCTTGTTACCCACTTCTGTGCAGTTTCTGCAGTTCTTCCTTTTCCTCACTCCAGGTATGTGAAGCTGAGCAACAGGAACCTGGACATCCTGCGGAACAGGCACTGGGCGATACGAGCGCTTCGGTGGCGGTGCATGCTCATCAATCGATGACAGCTGCCGGATGAGGTTACAGCGGAAATCCGAGTGCTGCAAGTTGCATCGTCGACTTATCACCCCTGGATGCTGGCTCTGCCACAAGTGAAAGAGGCGGTATGCATTGACAGCGCACACGTCGACCATATCCAAGAAGAGACTCTTCCAGTATTTCTTCGTTTTGCGAAGCACACGGTGCGTTTCGATCAGCTGATCGAACGTGTCGACTCCACCCATGCTGCTGTTGTAGTCTCTGATGCACATTGGCCTCTGCACTTCCATTTGCTGGTGTGCACCATCAATCTTGACATTTCTTGTTACTGTGTCATGCTCATGGCCCTGATGTATGTTGCTGTACATTGACACACACCGCTTGTCCTTCCATTGCTGGTACAGGTGATCTCCGTTGCGAACATAGCGTGTTGCACCTCGCTCTGCATGTTTCTCGAACTGTTTCATGTCGGTCCGCAATACGGCTGGAAATCCAGTGCGGTTCGCGCGGACGGTGCCAACCAACAATATTTGCTTGGTACGAAGAGATGTGGCCAGGGTTTCGGAAGTGTAAAAATTGTCCGTGTAGATCACACTTCCGGCGCGCACGTCACTGACCAGCCGCATCACCACAGCATGAGTCAGGCCATTTTCACCTCCAGGTTGCTGGCCTGTGTAAACTTCAAAGTTTATAACAATGGAGCTTTGGGCGTCGCAGGCAGCGAAGACCTTGAAGCCCCATTTGACGGGCTTTTTGGGCATATACTGCGTAAAAGGAGCGCGTCCCTTGCACTTGACCATGCGCTCGTCAACACTAACGCACTTGCCAGGGATGAACAAACGCTTGCAGGCCGCCTGCAGATGGTCGTGAAGGTATCGCACCTTACGAAGTCGATCATTTATATCCTCTGCCCTGAAGTCCACAATCTTGATGAAGCACATCAGCGCTAAGTACCTCCGGTAGGTTCGAATCATGCAGCGTGCATAGTTTCCGTTGTACAACGACGTAACGCGCCAGTAGTCCCTCGTCGCAGGCAGAGGATGAAATCCCTGGAAGAAGAGAAATGCAAGGAGGCCGTAAAACTCATTACGGTTGGTCTCCTTCCACACACCATCCGTCTGGTACGTCTTTTTTTCAGCGATATGCTCGTGCGCATACAAATTTGTAAACTTGACAATTGAATCCACAACTTCGTCCGGGAAATATAGTTTGAAGAAATCAAGTTCACATGTTGGAGCGAAATTATCAGGTAGGTTCAAACCAGTGCCAGTTATGTTGAACTCAGGTGTATTGGTTTGCAGCTGGTCAACATCATCATAGCCACTACAATTTTCGTACTGTATACCACGTCCTCGTCCTTGCCCTCTTGCAGCTCCGCGTCCTCGCCCTCTTGCAGCTCCACGTCCTCGCCCTGTCGCAACTCAATGTCCTCGCCCTGTCGCAGCTCCACGTCCTCGCCCTCTTCCACGCGCGGGGACACCTACTGCTTGGCCTCTGCCTCGTCCAGCGCCACGTCCACGAGCAGCGACGGGAACAGGAATAGCGATATCGTCAGCCGAATCGGATCCTATTTGCTCCAAGTCGGAAAAGAGATCGTCATTCAGGCGATCTTCCTCGTCAGACGAAATAAAATCGTTGTCCGAGTCGCCTACCTCGTCGCCTGAAGAGCAAGCGATATCCTCTACTGGGAGATCTGCTTGGTCCGCGTCTTGTATTAGGCGAAGCGCCTCGTCTGCATCCATCGCTGGATAAGTCCAAATTCTAATTTTGACATAATTGCAAAGGCTCTTTCAAAGCGTGCTATCAAAAAAAATTTAGTGGCGACCTACATCATGTTTAGTACCTACGTCACGGAAATTTTCTCAGGTACGCGGTGGTGAAGTCTCGGCGCGATGCGGTAAACCAGTCAAGCGCGACGATCAAAAATGTGACGCGCATTTGAAACGAGCGAAATCGCTCGTTGAGCGCACAAAGGGTTAACTTAGATACATGTATGTCCCACCTTCACCTTCCCACCTCACCTCATCTCACCACCATCACTCCCTATTAACCCGTGCCACCACCCAAAGCCCTCCATTCTTTATCCACTGACGATGTTGTTCAGAACAACGAAACGTCTGGAGAAGTATCGTAAAAATTTCTATCGTTATTAAATGTTATCAAATATACCACTCTTTGGTCTAGAAAGAATACTTTTTGATATTACAATGAGAGTGAATAATCAACGGCTTGTCCACCAACTCTTTGACTCACATTTGTGTACAACGTCTACATAGCATATGGAGAGGAGAACCAACATTTCTGACGTCATGTGACCCGTTTTAAATATAGGGATTGGCTGGTGTTAGAACCAGTGTGCCTGCCGTCATGTGACCCAAAGATGCAGGGATTGACTGGGGCTGTAACACAACATGGCTGTACCGTATGGGGCCATGTGATCGATATGCAACAGCTTTATTCCAGAGGAGTCTCTCACCATGAGTCGGGACTGAAGCGACATTTGAGTCCGTATTTCTCATGTGCCTTCACTTTGGTCTTGGGTGTCAGGGTGCAAGCGTGGTCCGGTGAGGACTGTGACAAACTCCAGACGTAAATGTCACCCTGACAATCAGAACACACACACACACACACACACACACACACACACAGTAACACACACACACACACACACACACACAGTAACACACACACACACACACAGTAACACATATACACATGCATGCACACACGCATGCACACATACACACACGTACACACACACACACACATACACGGCAAGAGACACGATGTTTACAATAGGCAATACAACGGCAGTCACTCCATACAAAAAAACGAAGAAGAAGAAGATGTGTGTGTGTGTGTGTGTGTGTGTGTGTGTGTGTGTGTGAGAGAGAGAGAGAGAGAGAGAGAGAGAGAGAGAGAGAGAGAGAGAGAGAGAGAGAGAGAGAGAGAGAGAGAGAGATAGAGAGAGAGAGAGACGCACACACACACCTTGAACCTTGAAACTGCCACCTAAAGGTGATGCAGTGCCTCAAAGAGGCAAGGAGGGCAGAGTTACTTCTTGCATTTGTGTTGAGCCAGGTACTGGAGACGTGTGAACTTCCGAGAGCAGGTCGGGCATGGGATGGTGCGGTGCTCGGAGCCAGAGCTGCATGTTCTGCGGTTGCAGTTGTGCCGGTGGTGCCCAGCTTTGCTCCGGAAACAGCGGTCACAGGTGTGGCAGTGATAATGACATTGGCTGCAATCAGGTAGGCGAGGTGCAACAATCTCTGGAACTGGAGCGTCACCAAGACTGGGAGAGCAGCTGTGCACAGCAAATCCACCTCGGCTAGCAAACCAACGATGGCACGTTTCGCACAACACAGCACCGGCCTGTTCATGGATCGGCTTCAGTCGCTCTTCCCTGCATTTGTGCCGCCGAAGTCCGCTTTCACTGGCGAAGAGTCGCTTTCACTGGCGAAGAGTCACTCACAGATCGCACAACACACTGACTTGGCTGTCGTTTCAAGGCGTAAACGCCGTGCAACAATAGCATCCGAGATGGACTGGATCCACTCGCCACGTTCAGCTGCGAGGTCGTACCAACCGGTGTATAGACCGAACGCCTTGAGGTCATCGCGTACCACATCACGCCATCGACGCCTGGGGCCATGAGCAGGGCGTGGAGTATGGAGCCACGAGAACAACACTGCCTTTGGAAGCCGGTGGTCGTCCATCCTGGCAATGTGGCCAAGCCACTGCAGCCGTCGACGGGCAACCATGTCAGCAACTGGCTCTGTAGCGCACATTCTATGCAGCGAGGCAGATGACAGGTGGTCCTCCCACTGTTTGGAACGCGAGATGCCGAGAATGACACGAACGCAGCGGTTGTGGAATTGTTCAAGGCGACGTATGTCGGCACGCAACAGTGTCCAGTTCTCAGCCCCGTACAACAGCACCGACAACACACAGCATGTGTACGTGTGTTGTTTTGTCTTGGATGTTAGTGAAGTGTTCCGAAAAACTGACGGGTAGAGGCTGCCAAAGGCCTTAGATGCAGCAGCTATGCGGTTGGACACATCGGTGTGGCATCGTCCGTCTGGTGTTACCACTGAGCCGAGATATGTAAACTGGCTGACATGCTGGATGGCGTTGCCTTGTACGCTTAGCGGGGTACGGTCACTGTCGTTGATCTGATGCCCAATAGCCATGAACACTGTCTTTGCCATGTTGAGAGACAGCCCGAATGCTCCACTGACCTCCGCAAATATCTCAAGCATACGCTGAGCATCCGAGTGGCTGGGTGCAAACAAGGCTGCATCATCAGCAAACTCACCATCTGTGATGACCATATCATTACCACGCTTAGATCTCTTGAAAAGCTGACCATCGGCACAGGTACGGAGTGGAAAACCAGACACTCCACGCTCTTGGACGCGTGCGCACCAACGTTCCATCACTGCACCAGCAAACAAGTTGAAAAGGACTGGTGCCATTGTACACCCTTGGCGCAATCCGTTGCACACTGGGAAGCCTTCAGTGGGGGAACCATTAACGATGATCGTGGCTGTCATGTTGTCGTGAAAAGACTTCAGAAGGCTGACCAGTTGCTCCGGGACTCCCAGCTTCAGCAGGACAATCCACAGTGCAGCACGCGGAACAGAATCGTATGCCTTCCTCAAATCGACAAACACCAGGAATCCCTTGGATTGGTGCTCGTGACACTTCTCTACAACCTGGCGAACAACAAACGTCATGTCCGTGCAGGAGCGACCTTTCTGGAAACCACACTGTGATTCAGGCAGCACACTTTCGGCGACTTTCTGCAATCGGTTTTGCAGCAGGCGTCCGAACAGCTTGCCAATGACGTCGAGGAGTGCGATGCCACGCCAGTTGTCGCAGCTAGTGAGGTCACCCTTCTTGGGTATCGGTATAATCTCTGCATTCACCCAATCTTGCGGTACTACGCCCTCCTCCCAAACCGCGGTAATGAGCTTAAACAGATTGGCCACACCCACGCACGCACGCACGCACGCACGCACGCACCCACCCACCCACCCACCCACCCACCCACCCACGCACCCACGCACCCACGCACCCACGCACCCACGCACCCACGCACCCACGCACCCACGCACCCACGCACCCACGCACCCACGCACCCACGCACCCACGCACCCACGCACCCACGCACCCACGCACCCACCCACCCACCCACCCACCCACCCACCCACCCACCCACCCACCCACCCACCCACCCACCCACCCACCCACCCACCCACCCACCCACCCACCCACCCACCCACCCACCCACCCACCCACCCACCCACCCACCCACCCACCCACCCACCCACCCACCCACCCACCCACCCACCCACCCACCCACCCACACACCCACACACCCACACACCCACACACCCACACACCCACACACCCACACACCCACACACCCACACACCCACACACCCACACACACACACACACACACACACACACACACACACACACACACACACACACACACACACACACACACACACACACACACACACACACACACACACACACACACACACACACACACACACACACACACACACACACACACACACACACACACACACACACACACACACACACACACACACACACACACACACACACACACACACACACACACACACACACACACACACACACACACACACACACACACACACACACACACACACACACACACACACACACACACACACACACACACACACACACACACACACACACACACACACACACACACACACACACACACACACACACACACACACACACACACACACACACACACACACACACACACACACACACACACACACACACACACACACACACACACACACACACACACACACACACACACACACACACACACACACACACACACACACACACACACACACACACACACACACACACACACACACACACACACACACACACACACACACACACACACACACACACACACACACACACACACACACACACACACACACACACACACACACACACACACACACACACACACACACACACACACACACACACACACACACACACACACACACACACACACACACACACACACACACACACACACACACACACACACACACACACACACACACACACACACACACACACACACACACACACACACACACACACACACACACACACACACACACACACACACACACACACACACACACACACACACACACACACACACACACACACACACACACACACACACACACACACACACACACACACACACACACACACACACACACACACACACACACACACACACACACACACACACACACACACACACACACACACACACACACACACACACACACACACACACACACACACACACACACACACACACACACAGGGAGGGAGAGGCAGACAGAGAGATCTAGAGAGAACTACAAGAAGTACCTTGTTGTTTATGGAGGCTAGGTAGTTGGCATCTTGGTTGATAGCTAGGCATTGGATGGATGCTTCATGATCTGGTTTCTGCAACACACAACACCAGTGCCGAGGAGAGCAACAAGAACAACAACAGTCTGTGCCAATGAGAGGAGGCAGGCAACACTGTACATTCTTGGTCAGTGGTGAAAACCCAGACAGAAAGGGACGCAGGCAACAATGTACATTCTTGGTCGGTGGTGGAACCCCAAGCAGGGAGTGAGGCAGTCATGCAGCACCGTGCATAGCAGGATACTAGGCAATTCTGGTTTAGGCTTGCGCTATTCTTAGGTCAGGGTAATGTTAGTCTATGCTTGTGCTATCCTTAGCTCAGGGTAATGTTAGTCTATGCTTGCGATATCCTTAGCTCAGAACAACACAGGAAGTAAACTTAGGATGCTGGGCTAATGAAGTGTGCTTACCAGAAGATGGCTGGAACCGCTATCATCATCGTTTCGAAGATCCCAGATATGAATAGCGCCGGTCGCATCACCAAGAATGATTTCTCCCTATAAAACACGCATACACACGCACACCCACACCCACACACACAGTTTCCAGTAATGTGACTTGTATCTTCAAATCTTCGCTAACAACGGCTACTTTAGAGAGGCTAATAGGCGATTCACATGGCAGGCAGGCAAATCCTATGCACTGGATCGCTGATATGGCATTTCACCTGTGAACGTGAAAAGGGGAGAAGTGTGGCTGGAAGGGGCAAGCCAGCTAAGAGCATGCAGGCACACTAATCATGGCGTACGCGTGTATGGGACAACACTGAAGCAGCAAATCATCCGAAAATGCAAACATGCCTGTCCTGGAGTGCATCCGTGTGAATCCACGCTGGCACATTTCTCGTAACTCATTCCATTTCCAAGAAAATCATTCCAGCTTGTCAAGCCAGGCACTTCCAGTTCGGAAAACGGTTTTGGAAAAGAACACTAAAGAATTCCAGCACAGACTGCTCCAAGCATACGAGAGTCAAGTCCAGTTTGTGAAACTAGCACCAGGATACTAGTGCTTGGAAAGCACATGCCATTTATGGGTAGGAGAGAGAGAGAGAGAGAGAGAGAGAGAGAGAGAGAGAGAGAGAGAGAGAGAGAGAGAGAGAGAGAGAGAGACAGACAATATTCGGTCTGTTGAGATCTCTCACAACAGTGATATTTGCTCACCTGATTGGGGTGCAACACAGCACAGTTGACGGGTGAATCAGCCTGGAACATACGCTGACACGCTACACGCGGTGATCTACACACACACCCACCCACACACACACGCACGCACAAACACGTGCACGCACACACACGCACACAGACACACAATAATCTACTTTCCCTACTACCAAGAGTATAATGAGGGGCCATCTGACATTCTTGACAATTTTCACGGAATGAAGCAGTTTAGTTATGAGTTAACCACCACCACTCCACCACATGCGCTCTCTGGCCCACCTCAATCATACCAGGAACATGACTCCAAGTTGTAGATATTGGCAAAAAAAATGTCCTCCGTACAGCGCTGTTTCGACCAATACCAGTACCCTCGTATTATCAAGTTAGGAGCATACTTATTTACTTCAGTAGAAACAAGGTCTAGACAGAACAGCAGTGCAGCAAGGTTAGCTTATTGAAACGTGCAATCATCAGGCAACACCATGTGAGGTACTGTTACCCATGCCAGTATATGTACACTAACGAAAGCAGTGTGGAAAATCTACTTCTGAAGTATGTGAGACTGTGTGAGTTTCAGCACTATCCAATGGGGGTTACAGCATTGCGTTGCTAATGCAGACTGTGTGACTTGCCGGTCGTGTGATAAGAATGCTGTGATGGCAGAGTTGCTCTACTTGTAGTTATTTCAGCGTAATACACACACTACCAACCCAGCACCTGAAGCATAGCACCACACCCAGGACCACCAACACCTCTGCACCCCCCCCCCCCCCCCCCCCGATCGTATCGCATAATATTATAGTGATGCATCGGTTATAGTGATAAAATCACGGAAATCAAAAGGGTACGCTATAGCCGATACAGACTGGTATAATTATATGTATGCATGGAGCACAAACAATCCAGCTGGTGAATACGTACCGCAAGTCCCAGATCTTGACGGTCTTGTCCTCGCCAGCTGTCCACATCCACTGTCCATCGCACTGGAACCCACAGTCCATTACATTCTTGGACATACCGTCATAGTTGACAACCTAGTCACGTGTAGCAGAACAGAACAACACGGACAGTCACAGTCACAGTGGAATAGATCAGTATAAACACACCCTGGATAGCACAACATATTCTGGATATAACATACAATGGATATAACAAACCCTGGATAGCACAACACATTCTGGATATAACATACAATGGATATAACAAACCCTGGATAGCACAACAGATTCTGGATATAACATACAATGGATATAACAAACCCTGGATAGCACAACATATTCTGGATATAACATACAATGGATATAACAAACCCTGGATAGCACAACACATTCTGGATATAACATACAATGGATATAACATACAATGGATATAACAAACCCTGGATAGCACAACATATTCTGGATATAACATACAATGGATATAACAAACCCTGGATAGCACAACATATTCTGGATATAACATACAATGGATATAACAAACCCTGGATAGCACAACATATTCTGGATATAACATACAATGGATACAACATACCCTGGACTTAGCATACCCTGAATATAGCACGCCCTGGATATAGCATACCCTGAATGTACTTCGAAGTAACATACTCTGGATATAGCACACCCTGGATATAGTATACTCTGATTCTCATCAGGTATCGCATCGCGCTTTGAAATGCAAATGTGGCCCACTGTGTTGATATACAGTACATACACTCACAGCCAGTAGAGTGCCAATTATCCGACACCATCCGGGGCACAGAGCCCTTTTCCAATGGGTTCAGATGAGGAGTACGGTCGGGAAAAAGAACGACCCTACATGAGCTAAAACATGAACTTTGCCACATTCACCATTTCTCATCCTCGTTGGCAGTACCATGGGAATTAGACACATTCTAGCCACTCGAAATAACGCGATGGGGATACATTTTGATGATAATCTGCTGCCACTTACGTATCAGGAGTACCAATTGAAAGGTGTTGTGTGTGTGTGTGTGTGGGGGGGCAGCAAAAATTCAGTTCACTTCCACTCAGTGCAAAGCGTATTCGGATAATGGATCGTCTGGCTAGTTACGTAAGAATGATCACCATCCTACAGGACATACATTGCGCATACCAGTAAGCGGATGCCAGTGATACTCCTGGTGTCACATCAACATTGCACTCGTTAACAGCTAGCCCACAACTGCTGTTCTGTTTGGGGGGGGGGGGGGGGGTACTGTAAGCTGTCCAATGTTCAAGTCACGTTCACGTCGCGGTCACTCAGGACCAGCGAGTTCACAATGGTAAATGTCCGTTGAGCACCGTAACCATACACATACATCCATGACTGAAATACGATTTCACATTGGCTAGATATTCGCACTACGCTAATTTCGCGAAATTGGCGAACAATACGTCGTGACCATAAAGGCAATTTCCAGTAGTCACCACCTATGAACAGGGTTCAGTACCATACAAGGGCAACAGTCACCATCTATGGACAGGGTTCAGTGCTACGTAGACCATACAAGGGCAGTTTGAGTGTGGCACAAAACAGAAAAAATCCACGGCTCATGTTGAAACTCGGCTGGAGGCCGAGTTTTCTGCATTCGTAGGAATGACACCAACCCCAAGGATCAAGGCGCAGATGCAGCTCCTAGAGTGGTGGGAGGTGAGTAGAGCAGAGAGAAATCCCGCAGAACTAAAGCACAGAAACAATTCAGCCAGGGGCACTCACCGGATTCGGATTGTTCGAGTTGACGTCGTACATACGGACATGCTGATGGCCTGGAGATTAACCACACCAATACAAGCACACGTACAGCAAAAACCTGTCAAGGCTACCACCAGTAGCAGAGGACCACTACAACCAGCAACAAGGTCAAGGGATGTCATTCCCAGTCAAATGACCCTGGGTAGGGAGACCACCGGTACACAGGGACCACATTTTGAAGGTTCCTTGAGCAGTCGGCTTAGACAGGTTTTGAGCATAGCATCATTGAAAGGACGTCAACTTGAAATTCAGTCGGGACAGCGTTGTCGGCGGCAGTTGCACACTCTTGGGGGTTACCGTACTCTTCTTCATACCCACCCACCCACCCACCCACACACAACACGGTCGATAGTTCCCCTGGCCACCGATTTTCACCTCTCCACACAACTCACAAAGCAGATGAAAGCCGCCCCAGAGGTGACCACACACAACCCTAATTTCCGCCATCCAACACAGTACAATCCGCTTGTACATCTTACCTGCTGCAGCGATAATAACCCGGTCCGGCGAGAAGGCCAAGCAATTTACTTGCTAAAAGAAAGTCAAGAGTCAAGGAAAAGGCAATAAACTCGACACACAATGCCACACACACGTACATTGTACTCGCACATTACTGTAAGTCCTCTGCGAGCTCAGCAGCTATCGCAGACTTTGGCACGGGTAGCACGTCTTTCATCAACCGTGCTGCCCGATGGTGGATACAACGAAGGGAGTACTGGAGGCATAGTCAGAGATGCACTGAAGATGCAGTCTAGGTGAATATAGCATTGCCATCTGTTCATCTGACTCCCTATTTCGATGTACTGTAAATATACAAATTTTCGGCAGCTATTTAATTTCGGCTATATTCGGCACCGACCCAAAACGCCTAAATTAAAACGCCGATGAAATTTTTCACAGCATTTGTCGCAATACCATGCCCTCTACCCCACGCCGAAAATAAATCGCCGCCGAAATGTCAAAAATCGTGAAGTGCCGAAATTTTGCAGCGCCGAAATTTTGTATATTTACAGTACTCTAATTTCAGAAATTGTCGGTGCTCAATATTTTCGGTATGAGCGCAACCGGCCAGGTTAGGTGAACAGAAATATTCGGTACATAGAAGCAGTTCCCTATTGGATTATGTGTGTTAGCGTTTGTTCGGTGTATTGAAATTTTAGGTATGAAACAGACGCAACGAAAGTACCGAAAATAAAAGTACACCGAAAATTTGTGAAATTACAGTACTCGTCCCACTCAGATCAACCAGAACGATACAACGGGCGAATTCAAACACACACGACTCCGAGCACATCAAAATCCCTTCTTGCACCCGCTGCACAGCGCGTTAGACATAGCTTGCTAGGCACAAACAAATGGCTCAAGACAGCCGTTCTCGTATGAATTGAACCGTTACGATTATTTTTGTACAACGATAGATCGTGAGTACAGAATCACTACCAACTCCAGTTGTTGGTTGACATGGCCGAGATTCGCTCATTCTGGACATTCAAGAATGTTCAGCCCCGGGTGCGGAATGGGTAATGGAACACAACCTCCAAGGGGTTGACTTTCTGCCACACTGCTCAAGGCCATTAGCAAACCTATTCCACGTACTGTCGGGGGGGGGGGGGGGGGGCAAGGAAATCCAGTCAGAGGTCAAGCACCCCAGGGCGCTGGCCATGCAGCCGTGAGTTCGCATACGATCAACATGTGCACTGCGCATGCAACGTTCTGTACCCACTGAGGGCGCCGGCCTCGGTCATACGACAGGATTTCCAAGTCCACGACAGTACTTTCTTGAGTGGTGACTACAGCAACAGCTGCGTAGCAAGAGTGCTCTACATAACTCCTGTGCGTATCGACATAACGATTTTCTCTCCCTCTCTCTCTCCGTAGATACACTGAGTACACAAACATAAGCACTTGAGGCAGTGCAAACTGATGGCTTTCTAGTCACAGCTAGCCCCACTACACACTGTCCCCACGCACCAGCAACGCAGCATGCAACCCTGCACGAATACACGGACTTCTACCATACCGGGTACATGCAGTAGCACTATCATCTAGTCTATGTGATTACTAGAACTCCGCTGATTGAGGATACCGAGTCTGGGTGTTGCAGAGTTCGCAGGCTGATGCCTGAGTGAGCTTGCCAGAAACGAATCGTGTGATCGTAGCCGGCAGTGGCCAGCAGAACATCAGCGCTGCTGTCCACACCTCCAGTCATCTTTCGGTGCGCCAGTTTTTCTGCCGGTTGTCAGCTCCACAAAGGAGCACCAAGAGCTATTCAAATATTCTTTCCACCTTTCCAAGGCGTTGGAGCAAAAAGCTTATCTCGCCAAATAACGGGTTGTGGCGAATACTAGTAATACTCCTTAGCCACCTTCAGGCACGATGGAACATGAATGCTAGTAGTTGAGTAATCCTGTGATGAGAGTATGTTGCGTCCTGTCCAGTACATTACAAGAAGATAGGAGTACACTACGGTGAGGCTCTCGAAGATCCATTTGTTACAACTAACTTCAAATAGCCCCTGACTGCTGAAGATCAGAGAAGAAGCAAATCCTTGTTTTTTGTGTTTCAAGACAAGCAAGTCAAGAGCACAAAAAAAACGAGGAAAAACAGTGCCAAGCTAGCTACTGCACTGGTACCTTGCAGGCTAGGCGGCCCCGCGGCCCGGCCCCGCGGCCCGGCCCCGCGGCCCGGCCCCGCGGCCCGGGAGGTATATTATGGCACCGCAGGCCGCGCACCTGAGGGCCTTTCTGGAAGCCTTACTCGATCGGATAGAGCGAAACTGAGCACCCTGGGATGCGAGCAGTTTTTAGTACTCCCGGGTCCGAAATCTCACCACCAGGCCGGGCTGATCAAAACGTCTGCCGGGTCTGCAGCCTACAAACGTGGATCTGCCGACACTGTGCTGTCGACGACATGTCCGGCAAGGCACCTTGCGTGAAAGCAAGGAACGCTTTTTTTTAGAAAGGAAGCTCCTTCTCCAAAATTTATAAAAATTTGAAAATTATTCCTTCTGAAAAGCTTGACCTCGAAGCTGACTGCTGAATGCGATTAGGAAAGAAGATTCCTGAAGATGCACCAGACTGATTCTGGCAAGCCGTCTGTCGTCTGGATATGCACTGTTGTTCGTCATGGTCAACAATCTTCTACGTTCGTCCTTTCGTTTTCCTGACCACGATGATGACAAGCGGCTCTCATGCTCAGGTTAGTGCTACTTGTATGTCTGGGCACACAACACATCTGAGATGCACCCACTGACGTTATCGAACTGAAGAATGCAGCAAGGGTTCCTCGGATTCTCTTGATTTCGGAACAAATTTCCTTCACTTTCACCCTCTCCGTATCTTCCCCATGCCCTCCATGCATACACAATCGAGTTTGCACTTCAAATGTTGTTTTTACTTTGGCAGTGCGTTCGATAACGTTAGGACAGTCTAAGTTAGGTGTTCTTCTCTGGCTTCAGGCTTATTGGACGTGTAAAAATTCTAAAAAATAGCTTCCAAATGCTAAACGCAGGTCCCTATGAATACGGTTCTGCTGGGCAATGATGTTTGCACCAATCTACACTCTATGCAGCTGTCACAGCAGCCACAACTGATCCTCTCTCTCTCTCTCTCTGATCACTATTTGATAAAGCCAATCTTTAAATCACTGTTGCACAGGATCTCGGGTGGGAAGAAGCGATGAATCGATACATGGCAGTGTGAATAAAAGAAGAACAAATTCCCAGTGCACGTGAGACTCGGTTAGAAAGACTGATTTCTGCATTCGTAAGAACGTCACACCCCGGGGATCATGATAAAGAAAAAATAGGTCGTGAAAATGACTGAAAGAACCAAAAAAGTATTTGATCTTCCAGCCAGCTTAGCCTGGCACTACCATACTAGCAGTGCTACCAAGTACCAGCCCCCCATATTTTTCTGTATTTGTACGGAAAATCACTCCTTGTCCGCACTACAGAATTTGAGCAAATGGTATAGAAAATCGAAGAGGATCAATCAGCTGTGTAGAAGCATTGCAAGTGTAAGCTGAGCGATGAATAGTCTTGTACCAAAGCGAGTGCATGCCGTACCACGACAACATGTACATGTAGCACAAAAAATAATGTCGTGAGTGCAAGTCACACATGTTTTACACTACTAAATGCAGCCACCGACATGCATGTGCGTGTCCAAAAACTTTGTAGTGCAACTTGCATGCAATGTACACGGCAGTACGCAACACACTGCAAGATACGGAAAATCAGAAGTCTGAGTGCGCAAAACAGACTCAATTGGTGGGCAGCTCTGTACTGGCCTGTACGGAGGGAGTGAATCTCAATGTGTGCAATGCACGCACTTCGGCCGACAGTGAAAACTAGGGGTGAAACGGTTCCATGTTTTTCATGTTCGGGTACCCGAATGCCAGCATTGTTTCCCACGGTTCGGGTATCGGTTCCATGCACTCTTTTCTCCAGACCGACAAAATGCATTCGCGACAATTATTTTTTAGAAAAAACCATTTTTACGAGCAAGAATGAGACATCGGAGAGTCCAAGTGCGAAGAAGATAATGACCAGAGAACTCTTTGGAAGAGTGGGGACCGTTAGGTAAGACATTTAAAATCTTGAGTAGACGACGTGTACATGTATTTGTACAAGAACGAGATTTTTCGAGTTTCGGTTCGAAATTTGACGGAACGGGTACCCGATTCTTTTCAGCTGGCGGTTCCAAAACCGGTTCCTTACCCGAACCGTTTCACCCCTAGTGAAAACTATGCAAGTCGTGTAGGTTTGTAGGATGAATGTGAGTCGTTTAAGACAAGCGCCTGAGTGGAGTAGCCCACCGAAAGAAGAGTACTTGACACCGCGAAGTGGAGTCTGCGCATACAACAGTGAGGGGGTAAAATTAGCTATGACTGATTCTGCATGTGTGTCACATTACTCTAGCAGATAGGCACACGTGTTGTTCCAAAAAGATGCTTATGTCAGTGTCTGAATATGTCATGTACCAGGTAATATTGTTGCCAGGATCTCAGGATATGGTATCAATTAGGGGTGAAACGATTACACTTTTCAACTATCGGTTAACCTACCCTTGCATAGATTCGATTATCGATTATGATTATCAATTACTGTGTCCTAGAAATTGTCGCGCCGGACCAGCACAAAGTATGCCGTGTTGACATATACACATATACATGTACATACACACATGCAGATAAACCGGGTACTCTACACAATGCAGTGGCACATCACGTGCAGGTGCAGACAGTCAGTTTTTTATTTTTTTTTATTTTTTCACGGCCCCTACTGGAAAACATTTGGACAAGAAAAGAAACGAGGAAAAGGACAAAGTACAGTATCTAGTAGTGCTGTACATGACATCTTTTGATTCTTGCAGGCGTTTCTTTTTTTTTAGAATCGCGTAATCGAAAAAGACAGCATGAGCGAAATCGTTTCCTTGTAATGATCAATTAGACGGATAACCGATATAATCGTTTCAGCCCTAGTATCAATAGATTATCAATATCATACATCACCACCCAAAGTATAATAGCCGAAGGGCCCGTTTGTGTGGTGGTGTATGATTTCGTGAGCAAGATGAAGTGGCTCCAGATGTGTTTTATATAACACCCTAAGAAAAGATCATCAATACTGGGGAAAGTGATTCTGGTAGCATGTTGTATCCAGTGTGGCATGACAGAGACTCCCTCGATTTAGGCTAAGGCCTGTGGAGAATACATAAATACAATACACACAGGCATCGCAACCTTCGGATTATATGCACTTTTGCTTGCCTCCTGGAGTGTGGTTGTGCCTTGGTTCAGTAGACTTTGTTTTTCGAATTCGTTTCTATAACATTAGGTTTCTTTGTGTTGCTGCTATGTCTTTTCATGTGTTTTACAGGATTGCCATCTGTTGATTAATACCACTCTGAGGCACACTCACGAGCGAAGGTGTTTGAGAATCCATGTCGGAATGATGGTCGTGTTGGCCTAAAGGTGCCATTGCCGATACTCGCCACCTCCACCCTGGAACATGTTCAATTTCTGTTTCTCGTATGGAAGGACCGAACAGGTTGTTTTCCTGCCTCAGTGGACCACTCAAGACTAAACAGCACTGATGGAAGAAGATTTGCCGTGAATCTCGTTCACATAATCAGCCTGTTTAATTGCTGTACTGAGGTGACTGCTTCATAACAATGACCAAGCAGCATTAATTTTTGCATAGTACTGCAGTGCCCCTAAAATTGGAGAATATCGAAGTTCTCTGATAGCATTGTGATTCATTTGTGAATAAACATCACTACTCTTTTTGAGTAGCATAGCAATGACAGAGTTGGTTTGATGTATGACAAAAATGGAGCCGCTTTTTAAACCTGTACTATAATCAGTACCGCCGGAAGCAGTTTTTGATTGGTCCATGGCCTTTTATACTTTGTGTGTGATATGGCTGGTACACACGTCCTCCACAGCAGGAAACATTTGTTGGTGGCCAACCAGACCGGTTCCAGCGGGCCTGATAATTGTGGGGGTCATGAGCAGCTCAAGTACTTTGCATGGTTTTGGACATGTCCTCAGTTGAAACCGACTTCCCCAAGCGTTCTCTGAGGGGACCTCAGTCTACTCTATCAGTTCATGTATTCTGTGAAGTGACATGACCATTCGTGGGGACCTTGCTCATAACTGCAAAAGTCCTCGTCTGATTTTTCCGAATCAATTGAACGTTGTACATGTGCATGTAGTGAAAGCCACATGCAAAATGCTGTTCCATGACACTCATCTGCCACCAAGCACTGGGTTCATTGGCTGAAAATATTCTTCGGCACAGTAAAGTCGTGCGCCCAAGAGCGTGGAAGCCTAGAACATCCAGCCTGAAATACTAAGAACACCACAGCCCAAAATTAAGAATTGCGGTGCTGGGTTTGTGCTGTTGTAAAACACGGGGATTGTTATTGATTGTTCTGTTGTACATGTATTTGAGCTTTACCACTACATACACGTCTGTCATACACAATACTCAATCTGAGGACAAAATGCTGTTTCGCTCATCAATGCAGCACAGAGAAAAGGAGGCAGATGAATGTCCTGCTAGAGAGCATCGAATACTGTAAGACATGTTATTATAACGATTGTCCAAAATTCATAGGTTAACGAGAAGATATGTTTAACGACCTCGAGGTATTCCGGCATATCCACACACAACATATATGAAGCAGTATGGCCTCAACGGATCTTATTATAACGAAGAAATGTCATCCGTTAAAGCGTTAGATTTACTTCCTCGTTATAATTATATACATATCTTACAGTACAGGTATAGAATCATGCCTTGCAGATCTCGTTACGGCCCCTTCGATGCATGTTTGAACATTAGACGGCTGTGTAGCTTCAGTTATCTCGGAATATGTTATCCAGCAGCAACAACGTTGAGCAACGATTAACTGACATACACCTATTCACTATAATGAGTATGCGTTGGAACACTTTACCCCGAGTCATACTATAGCAGTGAATGCCATGCATGGGTTTACCTCACACACTGAATTTCATAATTTGACATCCAAATCACAGAAGAGTGGTGTTCGAAACTTTACGTAATTGCACTCC